GGGGAGGCAGCTTCCACCACTGTTTGCACCCTGGGAGGGCATGGCGGGGTAAGGTGGGGCGTGTGCCCCCCGGATCTGCGTGGGGCAGGGCAGGCTGCAGCCTGGGCTGTGCAGGACTCTTCTCAGCGGGGGCTCAGTGGGTACTGCCAGCGCCTGGTGGATGCTGCATCCACCCCAAATTTTGCTGCTGCTCTGCTCCCAGCGCCGCCACTGCCAGCTGCAGCCCTGGCTCTCTTTCTTGTGTATGGGTAAAAGGCATCGAGTCAGAGCAGCAGTGAAGTTTGGGGTGGACGCAGCATTCTTCCAGCACTGCCGGCACCCGCTGCAAGCCCAGCTCTTCCTGAGAAGAGCCCTGCGCAGCCTTAGCTGCAGCCCTCCCTGCCCAGATATGGGGGGAGTGGGGGTGTGGCACCCCCCCATGCCATCCCAGAGTACAAGCAGCAGCAGGAGCCACCTCCCCCACCACCCACCAAAAGCCACAGCTCTGGCCCCCACCACCCTGCCTAGACAGCATCTGCCCCTGCTCCCTCCCTCACCACAGGGGGCATTGATCTGCACCCTACCCCCACCCCTTCCATCCCTCCTCCCCTTCCACCCTGGCTAGGCAGCACCTGCCCCAGCTCTTGCCTTACTCCTCCGTCACCACAGGGGTCTTGATCTTCCTCCTATGTCCCTTCCCTCCCCGCTTCCTTTCCAACACAACAGACTTACCAGCTGGATGCAGCTCTTCAGGGCTGCATATTGGAAATTGGATCGGTATCAGCTTATATGCCTCCTTAAGCATCAGCTATCTGTATCGGCCCCCAAAATCTGAATCAGCCCCCTAGTGTGCATGTGGAGTGCTGGGGTGAGGGTTCCATTATTCACACACACACACACACACACACACACACACACACACAAATTTAATGTCATAATGAGGCGTGAGGATGAGAGAACTGCAATTGCCAGTTACCCATTTGCCAACAAGTCTTTAAAAGCTGACAAAAATGTGTGTGGAGCACATTAAATAAGATGCAACGTTATTGTTGGGGGGGGGGGGGAGAAGTGTGTGTATACTACATTTTCAAAAGTATACTACACTTTTGAAGTTTTCTTATTCTAGCTATTAGATCATTTTTATTTTTTTTTGCGCTGGAAAAAAGCTAGGCAGAGTAGCAATATACAATACCCTTTTCTCCAGCCTAAGACAACTAGGAGGCTGAAGCACTTATTCAGGTAACGCAAGTAGCACCATACTGGTCAGACCAGTATCTCTACTCTAAGTGACAGGACTTGAGACTCTAGAGAAAAAGGTACTGAATCAGTTATAGAGTGATCTATCCCTTACAGTCCCTGGCATCCACCATTACTGGTTTAGAGACACAAGAGGAAACAATTCCAACCATTACATTGAACAGGTATTTGACAGTTTCATAGTCCTTAATACTTTATGTAAAAATATACATTTTCCCCATGATGTATGCTTATTTGCCTTTTTAACAGTTTTTCAAGCTTTTTATATAAGTGGAATGTTGTGTGAAACAGGAACATAATTTTCTGAAAGTTATGTTCTAAAACAAAGTTTTCTAGCTTTAGTCAACCATGTTTTGATTTATGAGGTTTTACCTGCCCTTCATAAGAAGCTCCCTAACTCCAGCCAAACATTATAGCTATGTTAATCGTACACTGTCATTCGGCATTTTGAGTTAACGTCTAACAGTCACCTGTGGTTTACAGAATTACGTGTGCACAGTAATTTTTAATGTACTGAACTCCCGAAGTGTTAGCACACAATTTGTCATCTTAAGAATGTGACTATAGAATAAGATTGTCAAAGTAGTGGTGCTTCAGCTGATAGAAATAATTCAAAACATGAACACTCTGGCATGCATCAACTGATGCATCACAAGCAAGACTGAGGATCTCATACTCCCACTGTACTCAGCATTGGTTATACTACAGCTGGAATACTGCATCCAGTTCAAGAGGGATGTAGGGAAGCTGGAAAGAGCCCAAAGGAGGGCCACATGAGTTATTAGAGGTCTGGAGAACAGACCATACGAGGAGAGGCTGAGGAAGTTGGGACTATTCAGCCTGGAAAAGAGAAGACTCACAGGACAATTGGTGGTAGCCTTTAACTATATAAGGGGCAAACATGAGGGGCTAGGAGAACACCTGTTCATCTAGGCACCCCAGGTGAAGACTAGGAATAAATGGTCATAAACCTATAGAGGATTGCTTCAGATTAGACATTAGGAAAAACTTCTTTATGGTTCATGTGTCCAGAGTCTGGAATAGACTCCCTCCAGAGGTGGTAATCATCTTTTGAAGATCTTCAGGGATGGTGATTGGATGCACACCATGCTGGGGTCATCTGACCTCAGCAGTCTTTCCTGCCTTGAGCAGGGGCGGCTGGACCTGATGATCTCCAAGGTCCCTTCCCACCCCTAACTTGTATGAATCTATGAAACCACAACTTAGTCCAAGAGTCCTCTCCACAAAGGACTATTTTGACAACTTTTCTGCTGACAACTGTTACCAAAATTCACATTCTTAATGAATTGCTACACCAATAATCTAATTAGCAGCAATGGGAGGAAAAAAGTTCTAGTAAACAGAAGTGCAGAGACCAGATGTTTATGTTGTGTTTTGGTATTTCATTGCTTTAGTTTTAATATGGTTCCTTCACTGCCAGCACTTAAGGAGTCCAACTGTTCCCTTGATTTTTCAGTCAGTTTTTAGGTCATTTTCTTTTTCTCATTAACAGAATTAAGTCGAGCGTTTAAAATTTGAAGAATGGACAGACCTTTACGGTAAAGGCTCACGATATGCTTAGTGTTTAGATTTTCAGCTTTGTATACATACTTGAATAATGAGAATATTTACTTGCATACCACAGAACCCATCCCCACCTGCCTCCAAAAAATCAGGCCTGCAAAACTGGGGGCATGTCATAAGCAAGGAAGTTTATTTTTATTGCTGGAACTTCACCTCATGGAGGTGCCAAAGCATAAACACACTGTGCTACAAGATGGTTGCCAAACTTCTGTTCCTGCCAGCAAATAGGAGAGGGTGCAGTCATATTAGGCATTTCAGAGCAGCTCTCAAATTGGTACTAGTTTTTGGTAAGTTTTACCCCTTAACAAACATATGGGGGACAGGGCTGTGGTCGGTGCAAAGAAACATTAAAACAAACACTAGACTTAATACTACACTGTGTCCACGTATACTTGCTGTAAGGGAAAGCTATGTTGCAGCACAATTTCTTCATAAAGCCATATCTAGATCAGAACCATAAGAAAAAAAAAATCTTTCCCCCACCTTCCCTCCCACTTTGTCTTCCAAAAACAAGGCATGCATTTTATTTAAGGGTTCGTAGCATGTGAAAAGATGCAGTGATTTTAGTAGAAAACTAAGAAGGTGCTGGTTTTTCTAGAGACTACACATTTCAGACAATATATAGCCATGCATATTGCTTCCAGTTGAAAGAATTAATGTACTTACACTTTATCCAGGTAGGATGGCCTTCTTTTCCTTGGGGTCAACAGCACTGTCACAAAGATTGTTATGATAAAGAGAGCAAGAACTGCTCCAATTACAGCCCCTGCTACAGCGACAGAAGAGGTCTGCTTAATTGGCACATCTGTAACATAATGCAGCACAGATTACACTTCTTCCAACTATTACGTGTTTGCCATGCTCAAAACACAAAGTATTCTTTTAAGTGTCGATCTGAAATCTATTATGTTCTTTCCTTGCATCATCAAGCAAAAGCCCTCTTTTCTACAACTTGGAAGGTTACTAGTCTTAGTTGTCCCTGACAGTTGCACAACTCTCATTTAACCTATAATAAACTAATAGATATAAGAAGATAATGTAAGATTTACTGTTTAACTCACTGTTGTTATCATCATTACATTGGCTGCATGCTTAGTAATTTCCTACTACAAAAGGAAGATGCAGTTACTGTTATTTTAGAAAGTATTTTCAACTATTTGGCACACATGTGGAAAGCAAAAAAAACCCCCCAAAACAGCCAGCTTTGCATAAATGAAAACTGCTCTTTCAAGCCTGGGAGCTGTATAAACTTAAACACTCGAGCAAATTAGTCTTACAATTGCAATTTTAGTGTTCAAGGAGGGGAAAAGTGAATACACAGACTCTCTGAACAGTTAACATGCAAAAGGACTAATAAGATGAACTTACCATAGCAACCCTTACCATCATTTGACATCTAAGGCAGAACATTTATAGAAATAGAAATATTTAGTTATTTTTATTTTTACAAAATATTAAATTGGTACTCTGACTGCAACGATAAGCACTGAATTATGGAATGCTTTTTGTATTCAAGCACCTTATATTTCAAATCATATTGAAGTGACCCAACAAAGTTAGAAGCAGGGGTTTTTTTTTTTGTTTTTTGTTTTTGTTTGTTTGTTTTACAGCCAATTGGAGTTGAATTACCAACTATAACCCACTTTAAAATATGAAACTTTAGATGAATAAATGATATTTAACCTTGGCACTGTTCATGTCTTTCCCAAAATAATTTTGGTTGTAATTGAAGAATTCCTACCTTATTATTTCACATCCAACAGCTTGCTAGGCTCCCCACTTTTTTTTTGCGCACACAATTTTAGAAGTTCTTCCAAATTAACACTTATCAATAGTTATACAACTACGCCACATCCCACTGACAATAAAATAATTAAAAAACCAAGAAAACCCACATTAATAGCAGAAGTCAAAGCAAAAGTAATGTGGAACAGCTCTGAGCATACCACTATTATATTTATACTGAATTGGGTAGGAGGCAGTGATATTTGTCCAAATTAAAAGTCCTTTTAAGTTTATGATATACTGAGAAGGAAAAATCAGGTTTGTTCAATGATAGAGGTTGCTAGCAGAGGCACTACAATCCATTCCATTATCTTCCTTCAATTTAAATTCCCACAATTTGAATGCATTAGTATCATTTTATAGCACCCATTAGGATACCATGCTCTAGTTAAGAATTTGAAGATGAATTTTTTAATTTTTGCTTGCTCGTGCCTTTTTTCAGCTCAACTCAATTCCAGAAAAATCTTCACAGTTACTTTGTTGCAATGTTGAAAGGGAGATTATTTTCTCCTAAGGCTAAAGACTGTTTTTCCTTGAAGCCTATAACTATTTTACTCCTGTTTTACCCCTGCTCCTAATAGCCACAAATCAGAAAAGGCTAAGAGTGCATCTTAAGTGGTAACATGCCTTGAATCCTGAAGGAAAACAACCGTAGGTTCATTTTGACACTGCACAGTTGAGAAAAGTGACCAACACCACTACCTTGTAGGTAACAAGGTACTGAAGCTGCTGATACCACCTAAAGCACTCTTAACTAAAAGGGGAATGCTTGAGGTTCTGTCAAGTCTGGTATTTCATAGTATTGTAAATCAAGGACGTTGAAGTCTGGATTGCTAGATAGCTGCCTACATTCAGTTCTGTGCACCTTTTTTTCCTTTTTAAAATGAATCTTCAGTCAGTTTTGCACACTATCTGTATTAAAGAACTTTACAAAAATGTTTATTTCACACAACAGCTCTTCGTACTTACAGTCAGTTTGTTTTGATTTTTTTTTTTTAAACAAAAATCATGTATGAACACACTGGAACGAAAAATTCTAACCCTATCTTCAAACTCTTTATTTCCAAATTTACTTCAAAAATGTAACCCTATTTAAGACAGCGATTGAATACTTGTAAAAATTTGTTTATTACAAAAACCAAACACCAAGTTACTCTAAGAAAGAGCAACTTCATTAGCCTATGCGGAAGCAGAACTTACAATTCATTTTTTTTTT